TAGCATGTACTGAAGTGGGTGATCCTGTTCCCTATTAGTGTAACTAGATTGTAGATTTTCCTAAGATAATTTAGACTATACTGCGACTCCTGTAGCAACAGCGTGACATGACGCACATGTAACCCAACAGGCTGAGCTGGCTGCGGATGCTTTCAAACCCCTCTTTTCTTCTCCCTCCCTCCTTCCTTTCCATTCCATCAGTTGTAGATCCCAGCCTACACGCCTCATTAAAACAGCCTGATTGAACCGACATCCTCAATAAGGAGCATTTCTGATCCTTGGCTTTTAAGGGAAGCAGCTGGAACCATCTGGGGAATGGTCTCTTCATTGCAAAGGGCCAGGAAAGGAGGAGCCTTCTCCCAGAAATTCTCTCTACCCTGCTACTGTTTCTCCCACTTCTTCCTCCAAGCAGATTTGGTTCTCATATCCAGCTGATTCCTAGGTATAGGTGGCTCTTGATTTTTGCTTATTTATTCTGAAATAGCGCTTTATTGGCAATTTTTAGGGGCATGGGGGACCAATGTAAAAGTCCCACAGAGCCTACAATCCCATCATCTTCCTCATACACTTTATCAAGTGGAATAAAGTAACTTCTGGCTCAGAGTATTTTGGCATCACAAACTTTCATTCCACATGCCCAGGGACACACACCCACATCAGGGGTAACTACTGCTAACGTACTTTTGACTCAAGGAAGGGGGGGGGGCTCTACCCCCTCCCCCCAAAAGCAACAGGAGAGAGGGAAATCCTACTACAGACTTCCTGCACCGTGCCTAATACAAAAGGAGGTTGCTAAAGCAACAGTTTCTTGTAGCTGACTAGAACTAGTCATGCACATGGGACTAGAACTAGTCATGCACATGGGAAGTATCAACACTATCAGAAAAAGATGGAAAAAGCTCCTTCCTCCACTTACGTAGCTTTGACTGCTCAGCCAGCACCGCTGGGAGCAGCAGCTCTGAATTCACTCACTCCTGATCTCTGACAGTTCCTGCAGCTACCTGGATCCCTGGGGAGAGCTTCTCCACAGCTCCACTGGAACCATTCATGCAAATCACTCTCTTCAGAACTATAAAAGAGTAAGATATTTAGCATCAGCCCACACAGCCCCCACCAAAATAACTTCAGGCTGAGGTCTTCAGCGGCTTGAATGATGCTGTGCTGTTGCCATGGCAGCACACCGCTCCACAGGGTGCCTGGGGTCAGGATGCTTCTCACCATAGCACCTCGCAGCAGCAGTATGGGCAGAGCCTCTGCGGCTGCTGGTCCTGATGGGGTGGGAAAAAATAGCCCTTATCCCTGCCTTGTGGGCCAGTAAAGAGAAGAGAAAAATGCCTGCCTCTGCCAAAACCCTGGCTGCACAATCTGAGTCGCTTCCGAGCGCCAGGAAGAGCTGGTGCATGCTAGCAGTAAGTCTGTTAGCTCTGAGTTGGAGGGCAGAAGGGGGGAGATGGCGGGAAGGGGCCGCTCCACTGCAAGGGAAGCCCAGTTGCGGGCGATCTGCCTTAGCAGCCAGGTAGAAACACACAGGTAGGGTGAGATGCCCCACAGGACAGTGTTCCCAGCTGACTTGTGCGTTTATTTCTATCAGTCTATCAGTCTATCAGCCAGCTAACCTCAGAGTTCAAAGCTGTTGCCCTGCAGCAGACAACAACAGCGTGTCCTCAACAGCCCACGAAAGGACACGGAGCTCCTGGGCGAGATATGCAGGTAAAGGGCTGGATGCCAGCGAGGAGGATTATTTTTATTTGGCTATTTAATTCAAGGTTTATTTGTTCCCTGCGTTGATACTGATGCAGATTCATTCCAGTCCAGAAGCCGTCATGTAGGGAGAAAGGAAATAACACAATCTGGCTCCCCTCTTTTGGCATCTGAACAACATAGTTCCTCAGGAGCACTCCAGAGGCCATCAGCATGTAAATGCTTTCCCTCGTGGTGACACTGAACTTTCTGGTGCTAGAGTAACCCCCTTCCTCCCTCTCGCTAGTTACAGCTGCACGTACCTTTGGTGTAACATCATGGTTATGCAACACTGACTCCCACTTCGCTCTTATCATGCCTCTCGTATTTGCTCAAGCTGAAGGCGAGATGGAGCCCGGCAACGGCCTCCAAGACCCAGCTATGGCCTCTGAGAGCCCAGCCTTTTCTCAATCCTCCTCTTCCGAGCCTGCACTGCTCCCACCGGCATCAGAGGTGAGCTGGGAGCACTGAACACCACTGAACTGCAGCCCAAGAGGACACAGTGTTCTCCAGTCTCTGTCCGGAAGGAACCAGTAAGACACAAACAGGTGGGCGTTGTTGTGCACTTGCCCCCCTAAACGACTGAGACTCCGCTGGGGTGCGCACTAGGATTTACAAGTAGGTCTAGGCTCGCTGCATCCCTGGGCCCCCCTCCTTTCTAGGTCACCGTGACTTCCGCAATCATCCCATTCACCAGGACTAATGGAGCACAGATGTACTCTCGAGGGAGTGAGTGTGAGCCAGAACCATCATCTCTGGAATGCTTCCCAGGAAGAACCATCTCCGCACCAGCACGTATCGCAAAGCACCTAAGGAGAAGACAGAGCGGGAACTTAAGCAGAAGAGTGAGTCCCTAGGATTTTTGCTACTTTATCCCTTCAAGGTTCTCAAGCAGGATCATGACCACATCCTTCGGAGGCAAACCGTGCTGCGCTAACAGGTAAGCAAGAAACAACCACGGTGAGATAATGCTTTCACTAAAGCACAGGTAAGCAGTGAACAGCACCAGACCTCCCAAGTGTTTCACAAACCTCATCTCAGTCATCCCTGTTCGTCCTGTAGGTCGCAAGGTGTCTGAGACTGCTCTGCGTGCTAGCTCGTAGGGCACGGAGCACAACAGCATAGGCTGACCCTGGCTCTCAGGCAGAGCCGTGTACTGGTGCTCCGCGACAACCGAGGGATCCAAGCGCACGGCAGCAATGAAAACCTGCCGCCTGCCAACGCGTGACTGAGCTGCGTCAGGGCAGGAAGAAGGGATGTTTCGTTCCAGACCGAAGACTAAAACGTATTTAAAAGAGAAATAGTCTCCCAAAGCATGGCCCAGGCAGATTCACCCGGTGTGGCAGGAAAGACCCATGCTTCTGATTTACCGCTTCTGGCGGGAACGCAGCCAGAGTGTAAAACACGGGTGATCATAAGCAGAATGAAACAGTGGGGAGTTCTGGCAGCACAGAACCGTCCACGCTGGACAGTGTGGGATCCTCCTTGTGACCCTGATTACAAAGAACAGCAGGAAGCGGCGTGGTGCTGCTGGCCATGGCTGCGATTGGCAACAAACACACAGAAGCCTTTTTAATATTGCAAAGACAGAAATGAAATCCTTCTCCTCTTAGGCAACGCTTGCCCTTCCTCAGGAGGGATCACATTGATATGGGACCATGCAATGTCAATGGTTTATTTCAAGGGGTTTTGAATTGGGCTTTGAAGGCAAAAAGGCACCAGCCTTGTTTCAAGCTCCATGAAGACACTGGTATTTCCATTCCATATCTATTTGTAGGACAGAAATGTGACTTTGTTCCTCTTTAGTCCTGTTTAAATGTGACACTATTTTAAAATAAGGTCTGTCAGGAAAAAAAGAATCAAGACTAGGGCTTATCCCTGCAGAAGCCTGGGAATCCTGCTTGTTGGTGAATGAGAATCACCTTGAAGGAAGCTAAGAACAACCTTGTAGTACTGATGCTGTACTTCCCCATCCTTTCTTCCAGTTCAGGTGAGTACCTTGGCCGTATCGTGACAGCGGTGGTTCAAGCACACGCACGTCGCTACGATACAGCCATCAAGCCACACACACAGTGTCAGCAGTTCACCGCAGGCCTTTCTGGTGGGCAGCAGCAGCACTTTCACATAATTTCTGGAGAAACACTGCAGTTGGAGGCCAACTTACATAACTGATTTAGTCCAACAGAATTGCTTTCTGCCTTTAATCTGCTCAACAGTTTATCTTTGCTGTCGTGATCGGTTGAGCTTTCTTTAAACCGTTATGGATTAGCGTTCTGCTATAACACGTTAAAAGCTTAGCTTTGTTTATTTTTGTCAAGAATGGGGGAGGGATATCAGGTTCAAATGTTCAGGCAGCAGTTTATGAATGGTTATTTTTCTTACACAGCAATCGATATATTCAGGTACCGAACGCAAGGCACAGCTAAATGCTTCCAGAGACAGTACCAGTGGCTGCAAGACAAGTATTTGTAAATTAATTAAAAAAAGAAAATAAAAAGAAATAATGTTATAAATTTGCATAATTATTTTAATCTGTAAATACAAAATTTAATCCCGCATTTAAATAGCACATCACACCCACGAACTTGGTATGGAAGACCAATGAGGAAGTGGTCTGAAAACTTAATTAATAAAGCTGGTAGAGGATTTTACTAAGTTGGCATTGTTGTGGCAATTTGCAGACAGCAACCCTGCCAAAAGCAATCTTTCTGTCATTCAACTGCAGGAAGATAATACACCGAAACACACATCAACCTCCAAACAAACGAAACCTCAGCCACGCCGCTTACAGAGGTGTTCAGATAACACTAACCAGCTGCTCAGTGAATTTTCACAGTGCATTCATCAACTGTGGAAGTGGATGATCTAGTAGGAGACTACAGTATGAATCCAGATCCAAATTTCTACGATAAACTGATGAGCACAATATACTATTGTCAACCAAATCCAACAATTAGCACGCTTCTTTGACCTCTGTGTAATCTAAATGATTTGCAGATGCCAGCCTGGAATGGAGCAAGAGGTTGTGTTCCTGAACACTGCCAGTAAGCGTTTGCTCTGTGCAGCCAAACACCATTCCAAGGAAACACCAGCTCTGATCAGTCGTGCTGGCAGCCCTATGACCTCGCAACTTACGTATCTAAAATGAAGCAAGGAGGCACTTTCACGTTCATAAGAGCAACACAGACCCTAGAGAAGTTAAAAAAAAAAAATGGGTCTAGCGATGCTAGAAAAAGAACCCACATAAACCTGGGAAAGCAATTCAGAAAAGAGGAGGAAAAAAGCCAACTTAATTTGCATTAGTGTGCTGTTTGTTTTGCTTTCTGATTGGGAGGGATCTTTACTCTGCACATTCCAGTGAATGGCCATTCGCTATTAATTTATCTTCTGACAGCAAGTGGAGCACCATTCCATAGTTTCAACATTCCCTCAATGCTGCTCTGGTTAATGCTTGTGTGCTGTTTAAACAAAGCATATTCCAACCAAATCTGACTATATATGGAATTCCCTGACAAGTAAAAATCTGGACGCCCTACAAAAAAGAACCATGAAAACAGCAAACATACACAAACACACAAACCACTCCAGACTGCACAAACTCAGTCTGTACTAAACCAGGCTCTTGGTGGCAAAGGTCAGGTATCCAGTGTGACCGACCGTCTCCCTGAGCGGCACGCCGCTTTTGAACTGTACAGTTCCTTGCTGAAGATCAGTGCTCGGGCTACCTGGGTTTGAGGGGTTGCTGCTGTCAAAGCCAGCGCTGGCATTATCCTCAGCTGCTTTTCCAAGGTCAGGGATTTGCAAGCTAATTGTCCTTACATTGTACACTCGGAGCAGAATTTCCAAGGTGTTAATCTCTGTGAATCCATATTCTTCCATCGTCAGGCAGGTTCTTTGGACCTGTTCGATGCAGGGGGAGAAAGAGCAGATGCGGCCACCTGCAAAATGAGACAGAAGTGGAAGCGCTTTTTATCTTGTTTTTCAACTCTCCCAGATGCCCATATAATCACTATAATACAGCCAAAGTGAAAATATTCTTCAAGAAAATCTCCATGAGGCAACTATGCGGTTTCAAGTGTCCGCGCAAGAACAAACATGGATAACTACAAGATGCTTCAGGCCCTTTATAAACTGCAACAGCAAATTCACTCATCTTCCAAATCCAGTGTTGCCCACCACCTCTGTTCATGATCAAAATGTTCTAGTCGATCCCTTTACAGCAGCAACTCTCTTGGAATCGCTACCCACTATTCTGGACCGAGACACTGAGCTGGAGTTGGCACCTACACAAAGCCAGAAGTCATTCTCCACGCACTGTACAGAGCTGCCTTCGTTGGAAGACGAGCGTGCGTGCACACACCCCCTGACAAAAGCGCCTGTGTTTATTTGAGAACGATGGTATGCGTGTACAGAATAAAGTAATCTCTCCAGGCCATAGATGGAGTGCTGTTAAGGCTTTACCCTTTTAGTCAAGCTGACCAGCATGTCTCCTGAGCATTAAAGCTTACTGGATATCACATCGGGCAGGTTTACGGCGAATGCTTCCAAACTCTAGGATAGGACCTTTAAGTGATAAACTAACACTTGTCTCCTTGTCCATGCACAGTTCAGATTCTTGATTCTAAATACAGAGTATTAATAGGCCCCCTACAACTTTCTGCGTGCTACAATGTCACCTTAACAGCTGAGAATAGAATGATTCAGATTTACTCTGAAAAGCCACAGCCAAATCAGATCAAAGAATTACAAAGACACTGCCATAAAGCCAGGGCATGTGCTTTCACCCAGGACACCGTGTCCCACAAGGCAACTGCCCCTCCTGAAAAGCTTTTGTGCTGGGGGAAAGAACACTGGGCAATACAGCTTCAGCTGTTGTTTCTCTTATTACAATTAGATGAAAATCCTTGCTGACCTGATTTGCATTCCGTCCCAGCCCTCTCCCAGGCTCATCCAGTCAAGCCTTCCAACACTAGTTGTCTAAGTAGTTAAAGAACCCATGGAAGCATTCTGCTAAAAATAGAAGCTATGCTGGGACTACATGAAGCCTGCTTTATCTCAAACTCTCCCTTTTTTTTTCCCCCTTTTTTGTTTCTGAAGTCACATCCCTAAAAAAAGACAGCATCAGGTCTGAACTGTAGCACTCTAGTTACTGTGCTGCAATGATGTGCTGGGTACCGACCAGGAAAGAGCACTTTCCATGACTATTAATCCACCATACGCTAAGTAGGATTTAATTTTACTCCTGAAATAAAGTCTCCACAGCCAGGGGTTCTTATCATGCATCTTCAGAACAAAGTACTCTGGACAAGTAATTCCCTGGAGTGACAATTACAACCCAAATCAAATAATCACCTGCAAAATTAATGCTGGTATGTGTCATTATTAACCAACTCTGCTGATGCCGATTTAATTGCACACCCAGCCCACTAGTTCCCATGAAATTAGATTTATATGTTCATCAGCATGGCCAGGGCTACTAAAATGATTCTGAACCAGACAGCTAATCTTTTTTGGCCAAAGCAGGACACACTTCCACCATGTCTTTAGCTATAAAAGAGAAAAGCTCCGGAAGACGTTTCTGTTACATAATTAGAAAGCCACTACGATGCACATATGTTAGAAAGAAAGATGTTACATTCTCATTGTGTAATCTAACTTAGCTAAATGTCAGTTCACAATAACTCTTTGTCTGCAAAGCAAGAATTTGCAGAGAGACCAGAGACTTACTACTATTTCATTCAGGCTTTTTGATTTTGGTGTTTTATACTGCAATTAAAAAAAAAAAAGGAAATATATTTACATTTACAGTAAGTCTGTTCTTATTTATTCTGACTACAAGGATTTCAAGATATGTTTAGGCTTTCAAATTCGCATGCTCTAGATTTCCAGTCAAAAATGAAGAAGCCTGCACACAGCTGTTGCCACACAAGCTGCAGAGCCGCCTACGGTTCTTGTCAAGCCTTCAGTTAAAGGCAGAGCACCCTTCTTTTTGCCTCAGGATGGTCAGCTGAGCACAGCGTGTCAACACCGAACTTTGTGATGATTTATCAGCCTGCCTCCTCGCAAAGCGGACTGCTTGGGGAAGCAGGGTTACAGAAAACGGGCTTTCAAGCCACTTGGTAGGGCAGAAGGCTCTTGCTTGCAGTAGCTAATATCCAGAGGGGAAGCACAAAACGCAATGTTATTTTACTTGCTGCACTGCTGGGAGCTGCTCAGGTGGGAAGAGTGAGAGAACAGCCTAGCAGCTGGTACTCCGTATAACTGACAGCACCCAGTGGGGTTTAGCAGTTCTGCCAATTTCAGTTTAGAAGCAAAACCACCAAGCATTTGCCTTTATGGATCCTAACAAATGGGAGAGGGGTCTGCTTTCTCCTGTACGTACCATCGGGCAGGCCGGCTGGATTACACAGATATTAAGAGAAGATCGGAAAGCTACAATTAGCAGAAGGCTGGGAGGCAGAAATGAAACTGCAGTTCCAGACTGTGAATGGCTGTCTAAAGCAGAAAGGTTTGGGAAGCTTCAACTGCCGTGGTGTGTTCAGAGCAGCAGAAAACGTGGACTGTGAGCAGCAGAGCACCAGCACTCGTAGGGCATGTCCTCCCGTCCTGGGAGCAGAAACGCCATCATTTCCCACAGACCAAATGCTCCTGAATTCTGTACACTGTAGGCTGGCCTGTGTACCCCCACCGGGCTACCAGCCAGGCAACACCCTTCCTGTCACAATCACCAAACAGATAGAAATCTAGACTTCAGCATTCACAACTCTCCGATTCTCTAAGAGCCCCCTTGTCCTTTAGAGTCAGAGACATTTAGGGCTTAAAGAACTTGAATATGCATTGCTTTGTCTTGCCATGCCAAGTATTCCTTGGTGAATGAAGAAAAAACGTGTACTCCCTCCCTCTCTGCTGGCTGGGGCACACTGCTCTGTGGATCACAAAGGGGTGAACTAGACTAGAGAGCAGTGAAAACAACCCAACGGAAACTTTCTAGCACAAACCGAGTTTGTGTTCTTTCAGAGCTCTCCTTCTGGGAAAGCTACCGTTCCTAAATTTGGCTAATGAGATCTGTGTGTCATCATAAATTGATATAGTAATTATCTGAGATTAATCCTGTTCACATTGGGAAGCTGTGTGAGCTTTTTGATCTGAAGAGCTGTCTAAAAATGTGTTTATTCATGTATAATGCATCTGACAAGTGCTACAGTTGAGGAGAAGAGAATAATGAGACCATATGAAAGACTTACATTTTTTTTCCTACCTTCGATTTTACAGGGAGTTAGTTTGAAACATTTAATGGAGAGATTAAATCTCCCAAACCCGTACGCTGGAACGAGCCCACACAGTCCTGGTGGTCACTGCAACCAGCAGTAGGGTCAAAAGGATGTGAAAATTGAAGTACAATTCAGAAGAGAGCTTAAAGGAAGGGGGAAATAACGAACAAGATTTGCATCCACATAGCACTGTACATTTTAACAGACAGTACCTAATTAGTAATCAAGGGGCACACCCGTCATCTTTACAAGAGGGTCAGTGCCTTGAACGCTGCTCCTTCTCCAAGAGCAGTTCCTGGTATGTTCCTGTGCTACTCCAACACACACTTGTTTCTAGCTTGTCTGAGCAAGGACTAACACCTCCACCAGTTCCATTTAGCTGCTAACCACATTAGGTTTCAAGTATGGAAAATCTGGCAATTGATAAGCACCCCAATGCATGCTTACGATACAGAAAATGTCTCCAAGCTGTGTGCCCGCCCTTCTGCAGGTTACAGTATGTGTCACAAGTGCTCTGACAGGGTTTTTCATCATCCCAGTATTATTCAGAAGATGCAAAAAGAACATATGCAGTGTAGCACCATTAAATTCCAGGGAAACAGGCATGTAATTTCAGAAATGATTCTGTGACGTAATGAATACAGGACAGCATTATCATCTCCGGTAAAAGAACACAGCTCCGGGTTTTGGGACTTCGGTGCATTGTCGTAATTGGCAGATTACGTTACAAAGATCTCATGGGAGAAAAAAACCACACGGCATTATCACTGTGTAGGGGCGAGGCAGGAGAGTCACTGAGCAGCATCAGCATGGCATTTACTCTGTGCTAGTAGGACACTAAAAATATTGCCTCTGTAAAAGGGGACAGAACGTCCTTTAAGTGAGTGTGCTCGTGGGCGATTTGATGTAGCTTCCCTGACAAGTGAAATTAGAGGATTCGGCTGTTGGAAGAAATTAAAGGATGTTTCTTGATTCAGAAAAGAAAATTTTCTCCAAATCACTTGCCAGCTCATTAATAGGAACTCGATGTGAGTTTCTGCGAAGTTGACCCTAACCTCTACACTTGTAGGTGTACCCTTCAAAAGGAATCTGTTCCTGCTCACTGTTAAGGGCTGGCAAAAGCATGCAACAAGGAAATGAAAAAAATCAGTTGGCTCCAAACTAGGGAAGAAAACCTAACAACTTCCTTTAAGGATCCTTTCATCCCAAACTACTTCCCACAAACCGTGTAAAGGCCAATAGCTTTGGCTGGCATTCCAGACACAGGAATCCTTCTGCTTGACTTGACACGGGAGAGAATCCCTTTTACTTAAGGCCAGGCCCATGGTGCGCACCCGACCTACCAATGGAGTTAGGCTAATGCCCTCCAACGAGACACAACCACTGGGGCTGGCTCAGCCAACAGCCGGCGTTTCGGAAGCAGATGAAGCTGCTTTGTGGGTCAGCACCCTGTCCTAGATCCTGGCGGGGCAGCTTTGCACCAGACCAGATGGCCCCTCAATGTGGAGTGGATATGCGTCAATTTAAAGTTAGTTTGTGGATCTTTAACCTCACCTTGAGTCAATGCTCCTTCGAATCAAAGCAGGTACCACACTAGTTAAGACTGGTGCTGACATTTTAGCCAGAACTTGTTGTTTCATCCATGTATTCCAAAACAATCTCCTGGGGACATGAGAAGCATTGATACCGACCTGAGTACCACCTGCATGGGTGGAGGACAGCGTGCTAGACTGTCAGGCTCCACTTCCTGCCCTAACACATTCCCAGGGTGTTTTTGAGGTAGCCTGAGTTCAAACAACATCAGCCTTCATGTCACTGCCCTCTTCTCAGTGTGACTCAGCCTGGGGTAATCCCTCCCCAGACACCACAGGGGTGAGACTTGTGGCCAGGGATTGCAGCTGCTCTTCAAAGCCACACCTGGGTGATTTAAAAACGCGACCATGAATTACTTTTGGGGCTCAAGAAAAATAGCCAGCAAGAGTTTCTACATGGACATGGTATTCCCTGAAAGCTCAGGGCAGGAGGGAGGCAAGCCCAAATGAAACTAGCTAAACCAGGCAATGCCCTACCTGCACCACAGGCTACTGGGAGGATGAGATACTATTTAATCTCTTATACAGCATCTGCAATAACCAAACCTGCCAATCAATGGTTACACTAAGGGGAGACTGGACAGAACCATGCTACATGATTCAGGTGGTATCTCAAGGATCATAATTTGACAAACTCATAAATTAGGGGCTTCATGACGCTCAAGAAGGAGTGGCAAGTCTGAATTTAAGAGTAAAATCTTTAAAGGAAAGAAAAGAGGGGTGGTTTTAATAATTTTGTGACTCACACTTTTAATTTAAACACCACCAAGGACCAATTTATAATGCAAAAGGCCAATCCAACCTACTACATGGCTGTACTTTTCCATCTCCCTACCTGAAAAATTAAAATCTGTATGACAATTAGTGTACAAGCAGGGTTCTGCTTCATATTTCACAGCCTTGGAAGAAACAGACAATATTTATGAGAGCAGAGTAGGTGGGTGCAGAATTATATTCAGAGCACTACAGTATTCAGCTGTGAGATGACTGTGAGTCAAAAGTTTGAGGGCATTTAAGAACTATAGAATATTGAGGATATTTTTGTTACCTTACTTTTTTCATTTTCTTCCTTTTTTTAAATTTAGCTTGAAGGAGTTAACAGCAACTTTGCAAAAACCACCAAGGTCAGATATTGGGAACAGCAGCTATGGCTATAAAAAAGCATTAATCAGCAGATGCTGCAAAAGAAAAACAGTGCAGGTCTGGAAATGAAAGCAAGTTCTGCAGTGCAGCAGTGCCCAAGAGATATTACAAGCAGCGTTTCTGGTGAAACTGTGACTGCTGAAATCAGCACAGGAGGATCCTGCAGCTGAGACGCCAGCCTGAACATCGGCAGAGTGCATCACCAGAGAACAAGAACCTTCTAGTCACAAACCTACTGTGCCATTTTATTCTTTTAGCTCTTCAGAGGTTGGCAGTGCTTTAACTGGGACGACAAGCTACTGTAAGCAGTGTATTTACAGCATACTGCAAGGCATTACGTGAGTGATACATGTGCTCTGTAAAGAGGATCATTAACACTCAGCCTACTAGGAGCTGCAACTATTCAGGATCTTGAGTTTAAGTAGGAGAGAAAACACTGATTTGGTAAGGTTTTGTTAAGGTTAAGAACTCTTACATACTGTCCCAGCTGAATACGCTATAATGAGCATTGTGGTTTGAAAGAGGAGGTTAGCTGATGCTGTATATTGGATTCACTTAGCTCTCATACCATTTGAAGTACCTTAAGACTTTGGGGAATAAATTACCACTATCTGGCAGTACAGCTGCAGTATTTGCATGGCACATCACAGGAAACCCCACAGTGTGAATGGTTCAAATGTGACCCTGTCCAGATGTGAGAGAGGGTAGGGAGGGAAATCAGTGCAACGACTCATTCCCTCCAGTGATGCTTTATCACTACGCTAACCCTTAGAAAGGAGGTGAAAAACCACAGTTACGTGCACAGACTGTTCCTACTGCAGGAGAGCTTTAACTGTTTGAAAACAAAACAAAGGAACCCTATAAAATTATCTGCCTGGGGGGAAGCAGCTACAGATACCCTTCTATCACATTTTAGGTTTTACAGAAGTAAAAAAAAAAAAACACCACCCCACAACAAAACTACCCACATGATTTGGAATAAAACAGAAATGTGCCTAAGTTTGTATCTATTACTACTGCAATCAATTAGATTTTATATGAAAAATAGAAAAAAAAAACCCCAAGCCCCCAGCTCAATCGGGTACTATGAAACCTAAAAGATGAGCCTTAGACCAATACCAGATCTCAGACACTGGTGGCTGTTTGCAGCAAAAACTGGAGCAGGCATCAGTAACTTTGCGTTTTGACTGGTACATACAGTGCACGATATCACTTCACAAACACAAAAATGTGGGATTTTAAAGTATTATTTATATTGCCTAAGCAGATGTAACCTTGTAGCATAGCACAAAAAAGTACAGCCAGATGGTATGGCCAGCTTGGGACTATAATACCTTTTCTAGGATTTCAAATGCTGGAATGAGACAAGGATTCAAAACTTGGAACTGTTCAAGCAGCTCTGCTTAGCATTCTAAACATGCACCACTTAAATAATTCAAATTGGACTGCGCAATGCAGCGCCTTCTAAGCTGGGAAGTCAGCTGAGCGCTGTGCTCACTAGATTAGATAATTTGAGCATGGGAAGGGCATCGTACACTGAAAATTAATTTTTTTTCCCAGGACACACTGGAAAGCAGCTACAAATTGAGCTGTAACCCTTGCAGGTACAGAGTGCTAACAAGTCTCTCGTTATTTATTCACTCTTTAAAGAAAGCATGTGCTACACTGGCATCAGAAAGCTTCCTAGAAAATTTTCAGTGGTAGCTGAGGTAGCCTAACAGTTGGGTCGGTCTGACTGAGGAAGGTAACGCACATCCAGTCATCCTTAAGACGAGCTTAAACCCTGTGATTTCAAGAAGACCTAGCAATTCCTTTAAAGTCAGGCCTGTGATTATGTATTTTAACAAAGAACTGTGCCTTGGCACATAATCAAGTTTTACTAAACTCATGCCCAAGCACGGGCACTGTTCAGCACTCCTTTTGTCTTGATTAGGAAAGTCACTTTTGTAGATGGAAGGGATCTGGCACGAGTTAGTTCAGATCCACACCAGTACAGTTACACTGGTGTAACATTAATTAGGGGAAAACTGATTCCAGCATAAAAGAATGATTTGTTCACTGAAGCTTATTTTTCAGTAGGGAAAAGATTTCTAATAAACTGATGAAATCCATCCAATACCTCAACAGCAGTTCTCACTTGCTGTCCCAATCTTGGAATAACTGGCATAAGCTAGAACAGCCTTTATGTTTCATTCCCACTGCAACCAACGGCAAACTGATCATTAGCTCCAACAGCAGAGATTTAAGGCAAAAAATGGCAAGTATAACCACATTTTCTTTAACATTACTGATGGGGTGCTCTGTTAAAGAGGTCCAAATCTGCAATGCTTGATGTGAAGTGGGTCTGAACACCTTTTATACAAACACCTTTCCACTGAATTGCCAAAGAAATTTGCTTTTAGCATTTATTGTTACTGCTGCTTCCCACAGACCTCAGATGAAGCAAAATTCACTTGACTTCAAAGGATTTTTTATAAACTGCCCATGCTAATTGTAGCAGCTAGCACAGGCCTGTAGGAAAAAGTTCTTCTCCTTTCAAACTGAAGACCTCTTTTGAAGGTTTTTCAGCCTTAGAAATGCCTAGAGACTTTGACCTTTGAGAAGAGCGATCACACAGGGGGAGCGAGCAGATGTAGCGCATGGCTCAAAGGCAGAGATGTGTGCACACACAGTACTTCCTGAACAGAAAGAGGTAAGTACAGTTACCTTCAGCTTTTAACGCTGACTTTGCATGTCCTATGGCTTCCCATGGAGATGGAATATCTAGGAAGACAGCATCTGCGATGTTTGAGACACCAAACCCATTTTTGCAGACATCCTGGTTGGTCACGGTGACCAGATGCTCCACCCCATGCTCTCGAAACTCCTCCCTGGCCTTCTCCGCCCTCTGCTGATGGAACTCCACCGTGTACAGGTGTCCTGTGGGAGCCACTGTCCTGATGAGAGCGTGGGAGAGCGATCCACTGCCCGTACCTAGAAAAGACAAACACCTCATGAAATGCCTTTTGACAGTGCTAAACGTTAGAACACAGGTCTTCTCCATTAGTGCTACTGCTTGAACACTTACTCAAAACCCAAGTGAACAGAAGCCATTGGTTAAACTACTGAAAGAGAACAGCCCTTCCTTCACATGCAGAGGGGGACTAAACGACCTACGAAACAGCCTTCAGGATCCTCAAAGCATTAAAAATGTGGCAAGCTCAGGACCTGCCCATCTCCCTGCAGTAGAAAAATAATGCCAAGGGTCAGCTCTGGCTCTAACAAGTGCCATGACTAAACATGAGGAAGTAAATGAGAGGGGCAAACTTCAGGGCAATTAACACAGAGGTTTTTTCAAAGTGCCAGACTCTTCTAGGGTGAAAAGAGACAAGGCAAATTTTAACGTGTTTTCAAAACAGTATATACTTCATTAAAACAAAGAAGAGATGTTGGCACAGGTCCGTGGTTGAAAATCTTACTGCTATCCATGCAAATAAATGGTCTTCGGAGTCTGTTTGGCCCTCTTACCAGCCATCCTCAACTCCCACTGAAATTATCCAAAACTCAGGCCCCTGGGCTCCTCGCTGTCACATTGATCAAATGACCTGGTTTCACAGGTGACTTATATACATACACACCTACACCATCTTAACAAAGTCTAATGAGATGCAACACATACCTGAAGTTGTATGTACGTACAACTACCACGTACAACCAGGAAGTGACTATTAAGACACATATTTTTTTTCCTTGTTTTAGCTTGATAATTTAGGAAACTTATTTTAAACGATCTGCTGGAGTATTAAATGGATGAATGACTAATAACCAACATTTTCACTGAAGAAAACACCCATATACCAATTCACATTGAAAATTACTCACTCAGGTGGCATTTAACAGAATAACACCCCCTACCCCCCCAACTCAAAACCCCACAGCAACCCCAAATTATCTGTGTTTATTGATCTATAATTCTGTAGTTGGAACACATTTCTCCTGTAGAAAGAAAATCTATTTCTAGCTATCTTCAATGACTGTTCAGGCTACACTTCAACCTGAAGCAAGTTCTTTCAACTAACATAAATCTTAATAAACTTAGAAAGGACAGAACCTGAAATACAGCAGTGGTGGAGAAAGCCCAGAAACCAGTAGAAAGGAAATTAATTAGGGGACACAGGGGCTGGTACAGCTGCTTAATTGGAGCAATACTTTCCAAAACCCTACAGGAAGTCAGAGTTTACTGACAGATCCAAGGTTTTTGCCCTCTATTCACATAAGGGGAGAAACGTTGGGACACCGTATCTAATCCGACAGCTCTGAAAAGAGAGCCATTCAGACTGTAAACAAAGCTCAGGGCCCATGTTTGCCATCGGATCAACTGACTGCCCTGTGGAATCGGTGCTGCCCCTCTGCTTCCCTCTGAGAGGGCTCTGACCCCAAAGGGCAGACTAGCACCCTCCCCCAGCTTTAATGGGGCAGAGTAGATGGGGAAGGAGGACCTACAGGTTTAGCCTGACCTCTCTGAGAGATCCAAGGGAAGAGGGAAACACACACAGTGAAAATCCATGCCAATATTAAAATAAAGCAAAGAAAAGGCAAAAGACACGTACATGTGCACGCAGGAAAAACCATCCGGTCACGGCTCCTGTGGGCTCCCAGTGACAACATGGGACAACCTTGAAGATGCCCCATCCCCATCCGTCTTCAAGGCCAGGCTGGACAAGGCTTTGAGCAACCTGGTCTAGTGGAAGGTGTCCCTGCCCATGGCAGGGGGGTTGGAACTGGATGGTCTTTAAGGCCCCTTCCAACCCAAACCATTCTGTGATTCTGTGGTTCTATAACATGAACTTCTCCCTGGTCAGAAGGAGCAATGGTAACACAGTAGCCATGTGGCTGTAAAAACACAATGACATATGTGCATTGCAAAGAACCAGCATTTCACTGATTTTTTTTTTTAATGACAAGAGCAGGGAACTATTGTTCACAAGATGCTAACATGACTGAAATTCTGCCTTTACATTTCCTGCCAGAAGGCCGGATTGCACAACTGAGAACTTTTGCAAATGGACGGAATTTAATTATTTTCTCTCTCAAGTGGGTAATGCTGCACACTTTCTGCATCTTTCTCTGCTAATCTAAAGGAGTGAGCAGAAGGCCTGGCAGCACAGCTGGGCTGTAAGCAGGGAGAAAGGCAGCTTGTGCATGTATCCAGTTTCCTTGTTCATATTCTTTTACATTTTTAATCACTTTCCTTTTAAATCTGCTCTTAAAAACACCGCAGAAGATAATGTTTGTCTCCTTCCTAGGAAAACCCATTAACGTTTTTTGGCTTTTTTTCTGGTACTCTTTTTTTTTTTTTTATTCACAAACACTCCAAGCCAAACCCTGAACAAAACCCAGGATGTTGGAAGTCACCACTTACAGGTGTATTACAGACTGAGCTTCTGTTAAACAAGGTTGCCAGGAATTATTTATTGTTGACTGGCTACCACAAACATGAGAATAATACATATGTATCACATTTGAACATATCAAATTCCATCACACTAACATCATTAATGAGAGTATTCCTGAAGATGCTGCCTGCCTTCTCCGTGGCAACACTCGAAACTGCGGGAACTGAAGAACGAGGTGGCTGCAAACTGCCCACCACTGTAAAATCTCTCCTTGAAGAGGTGACAGGTTCTGAACCCAGCCCTGTGAAATGACAATGACCCTGAACTCCCAGTGCCTGATAGTTGAGCACACTTGACGTGATTCGTTAAGAATGCGAGGGCCTGGCAGTTCAGCCTGAGTCCATACTCCATACAACCCCTCAAGCCCCATCAGCGCTGTCTACAGAAGGCAGGGTTCAACCCTACGCTTCTCTGATGCTGTGCAGGGGGAAATGAATGTTTATATTCACCTCCTCAAATCTGCAACGTTCAGTATGTGAGTCCTCCTGCCACCTTCCCTATCCCTTTTCAAATCCGCTCTGTCCCTATTTCAAAATCATCACTGAAAAAAGCAGAAATCAACAAATGTGACCCAAAGAGTCCTAGGCACCACTTTGGAGTAAGTTCTAGTCAGGTTCAGGTTTCTTTGGGAGATTAAAGGCATTCATAGCGTGACACAAAATCAGTCAGGGAAGTAGCAAAATGCAGGCAGCACTAGGGAAACACGAAAGAGAGTGCTATGAAATCTGAAATATCATAGCTGAATTACCTGCATGCAAACGAACCAAAAACCTGAACACCCAGAATTACTATTTTGTATCAGAAGAGGCAAGTGAAGAACTGCACTGACTTGGCCAGGTTTTCATTCTCCTACAGGTGCACTGAAATGCCTATGCTCCTGGAACGCAGAAGTTAAGACAATTTCTAGAACAAACACAGTTTATCATTTTTACACCAGGATACTTGCCTTTTTGACAGCTTCCACTATAAACAGCCTTAGGAACTGTTTGCTCTCTACCACAGGACAATGCCTGTTTCATCAGGACTGGACTCTACAGAAGAGAGGTAAACCAACCATAATTCAAACTGTACTGAAGTTATTCTTAACACCACAGCTGCTGTTTTAGAGCTCACTTAGGGGAGCACATTGCTAGTGCCTTTGGAAAATAGGATACTCTTCTACACTGACTATTCGGTGATCTTCAACCCCTTAGTCAAAAAGAGGACATTTGCATTGCAGGGATTGAGGCACTGCAGGGTCCCCAGTATGCCATGCTCAGAGCTCAAGACTGAGGAGGAGGCGCCATGTAGGGGGTCAGCACGTAGTGGAAAGGGGTCCAACTGAGTCCAAAGGCACAAATTCACATCCTGCATTAAAACCACATGGCTAATGGCCCTGCAGACCGATGCAGTATCCTTCCTTCTTCTTGGGCTCAAGCACACTCCATTCTTCTTCTGTGATACATCTAAGCTCAGGGGACTGTTTCTGACCTCTCCCAAGACAAGGAAAACTGCAGTTTTAGAAGGATTTCAGTCCTGACATGTGGACACCTCGGTGAAACACTCTAGCTCAGCACGCACTGAGACTTCCTTCTGATTTGTAGACAAGAAACTACTGACGAGATGAACTCCTCGATCATTTCCCTGACCTCACACAGATCTGTTCTTCTCACTCTCTGCTTATCCAAGCGACACGTCTTCCACAGAGAAGCCTCCACGCACCTCAGCCATCTTGAGACTGCGTCCACATTAAGACTGTTTCCCACCTTTTCGAAGCTGCAGTGGACAACATCTGAGCTGTTAAAAAATGACGTGCTATTTCAACACAGTACAGAGATACAGATCAGAACACTGTCCAGAGAAACACGAGTGTTGCCACAGCTTCTAGCACAGCACTTGATAACTGAGTAAGGAAGCACATTTTTACACTGTTTTCTATTTAGTCTGGTTTTCCTATTGCAAAGGATCTCTGTCTAACCTCCTGGAATGCCACCCATTCTATAAACATAAGCAACCTGATTCTGTGTTCCCCTACACTGCCTCACTGCAGGCTATGGCTTGGCTTGGCTTCCCTATTTATTTCTCATCATGGGTGTCTCTTTTTAAAAAGGGGACTGACAATTGTGATTTAGGACCTACAGATGTTTACAGCTGTGCATACACAAAAGCACTTTGGAATAAAGCTGAAGAAGCTCTTCAGTGTATACATAGGTTCATACTGCTTGGAAACAGGAAAAGTATGTGGAGTATTAATACTCGGTCTCTACAGTATCTAGTAACACGTTAATGAACTGACATTTTTGCTGCAAAATTTGGCTTCCTAAGTTATTCTAAAATGCGTAAATACAACAAAACAATGACAGTGTTGCTGTTATTTGTCTCCTAGCTACGCCACTCAGACCTAGCAAATAGCAAGACAGGTCATGAGTCAGCTATGAGAACGGAAGGAGCCTCAAAACCAAAGGAAAATTAATCTTTAGACAGAGCTAACAACTCCACAGCTAATATCTGTCAAGAAACACTGAACAGAGGAAGACTGCTCACAGTACATGACGAGTTTAGGCAATTGGAGAATCATGAATGATTTTTAGCAAACATATGAACAGATATTAAGCATCTAATGGAAACTAACCCAACGATCTTCCTGCGAAGATAATCAAGGGCACAAATCATGGTGGCAGAGGTGAGGCACAGCACGAGCAGGGATGGAAAAAGGGAGGGGAGAGAGAGAGACAGAGTTTCAAGATGAGCTGGTGGCTGAAAGAGGAAACAGCAAATCAAGAAGCTCCCTTTACAGAAGATCAGCTCCTTCTCCTGCCTATCTGTTGTGGCCACCATGCTGAACACAGGCCTTTCAGCAGCGGGCTGGAGGTGGGAGAGGGCCACTGCTCACTGGTCAGAGAGAGGAGTTGGGGAAGGATAGCAGGAAAGCTTTCAAGGCTGGCACTGCCTACAAAAGGAACTGAATTTTTCCTTAGAGATTCAAGAGCTGGAGTTCTTCAGGGAAGGATCTTCTGCAGAACAGGCATAATATTAAGTTCAGAGCTGTATGAGAAAAGCGCTTGTGGTTAGGAGAAATTATAAGATGAAAGTGAGTCCAGAAAGTCTGGAAACAAACGCTTTAGGGTAAGAGCAGCATTCCTCATCAGCTGCAGGTCAGACACAAGTCTGAATACATTACAGCGATGCCTCATGTAGCCACAGTTTTGGTTCAGTTCTTTGGTATGTCAAGAGAACACTGTGCTCTGACATTTGTACTGATGAGGCCTTTCTTGCACTTCAAAAGGTGCTAGACAAGGACGGGTTTTCCAATTCTTCTCTCACTTTAACCTGAACAGCTGCTAAGAGGTAGATAACGAGACATTATAAAACACAGACTGGATTTGTATGAGCACGATCCAAAATCAAATCAGTACCTACAAACCTTGGTCTGTGCTTTACACTAAAAGCAGAGCTGCGAACTGTTTATGCATACTTGTGCCACAAAAACTGTAAGGACATGAGCAGTATTTGCCAAAAAGTCTGCAGGCACTTCAGAAGAGTCAGAAGCATACAGCTGACTTGCTGGGACTCCACAATAAACTATTAATCATTTATTAAGTATCCATTAATCATTAAGTCCTCATTAATTTTTTATGAGTGTACTCTTAACAAAATCTATATCCAGGCTGTGAGTTTGGAAATTTCATAATTGTTTTTGAGAAGCTCTAGTGTAAGGCTGGCTGGCAGCTCTCGATACTCCTCCACAGAGAAACCATGAGGACCCAGAACGCTGCTCTGAGCTGTCAGAAATCTAGTCTGTGAGCTCAGAAACCCATTGCTGTGTGGCAATGAACGGGGTTTAGCAATTTTTAATTTGGGATTTAGCTGAAGGGAAACAAAAAAATCCAATTAACATTTTTGCTCATATGAGTGATTTTGCTGAATACTGAAGGATCATCATTGGGATGGTGGTTAGAATACTTTTGACTAAATTATATTTTGTCTAAATACTATGATCCATTGAAGCCAAAATATTTCTGAGATTTATGAGATTAAATGAGGTTTCACAGTGCTGTACTGCATTCCCTGAGTAATTCTAAGGGTTAGGACAGACACTTGTTTAGGTCTCACCAGAGAGTGAGGACAGTAAAAAAGCATTGACAGGTGGGGACTGGAAAGAAAAGAAAAAAAAATGATTCTACACACTTTTGTTTGGAAAAAAGTATGTGAAAGGTTTTTGAAAATCCTGAAGAGGCTCCAATGTAGTACAAAAATAAATGTAAAAACCTCAAAATATGTTGCCAAATGGGATTCTTGTACTACAGGCAGCTGTAATCAGTGGGCTGAAAATAGCCTTGCCTGGGAATTTGACATCAAGATTAGTTTTGGAGAGCGTGGCAACACACACAATAAAAAGATTCAGCTTATTTCTTTATGTAGACAGTGACTGCACATGCAATGAACGCAAATGGGATCAGAGCTACCTGATGAGAATTAAAGTTTCACACTACCAGGCCACTCACAGCAGGTATTTTAGCTGCTATCTCAAGTATTCTGGAAAGATCAGGCTGTTAAGGAGTGGGGAATTCCTCAGACCAGAGGACCAATGCTTTCAAGAGGTCTTAGCTCGAGTAACGGTGCTAACAGTTTTTAAATCTCAACATACCTTTATAAATTAGAAATTAGCAGAAGACAGAAAAAGGATCATATTCCTCCACCTCCGTCATGAAACATCAGGCAGATGCTGAGTTCCATTATAGCCTCAACAGAGTATACTTGGGTCATTTTAATTATGCATGCACTGCTGACAAGCTTTCTCTTTATATATTTATTAAAGATGATTAAAAATAGTAAAAACTGTATTAATATGTTTCTAGCATTTGTGACAAATCATGACTAATCAATTTAAACTGCATAATTCAAGTGATATAAAATGAAGCCTTCTGGTTATTCCACTGAATTTTTATGGTCACACACAAAAGATCATTTATACTCGTATTCACAGCATTACAACATGACACTGAGGGTATTTCATCACTTTTTCGATCCTGTCTTCATACAGTTGTGGAGACTAACCCACAGTTCTGCCTGCTTACGCTGGGTAAATGCAGAGCGCTCTTCCACTGTCTAGTCAGTAAGACTAGAGGAAAAGCGCCTGGCCTCTTTACAGTGCCCGCCTTGCCAGTCTGTACAGCCATATATATATCAGTTCAGTAGCAAATAACAAAAAAGACAGACCTCTATGCTAATTAACGTTCAAAATACATCTAAAACCAGCACTGGCAGGAAGCAGACTCAAATGTCATTACTAGACTAGATTTCCTGTCTTGTTTCTATTAATCACCACTGGGCTGGTTCCGTCTAGGCCACGCAAGGTTAATCTAGAACTGAATACTGTCTAATTTGGGATGGCACCAAAGCAGGTTACATCATCACACTGGAGGCTCCAGTTGTCAATACCTGTAAAATTTTTAATTCATATCATCACTTCTGGTCAGTTGCAAGCAAATGTGCGCTAAGATCTCTTGCTTTGAGGTTAAACAGATGAATTTGACACAATTCTCTTTCTTCAGGACCAGTGAATCTTTCAAGCAACAGAAGCACAAGTATAGCAGTGAAACTGTTCACTTTTCCTGGGAAGCTGAAGTTATAATACGTGGACAGCACAGGCACTAAAATAAACCTGGGGACAGTTTCCCGTTAGCAATAAGGGTTGTTTGTGGCTATGACTTTTAGCTCATAGCATTTTGGGGAATCTGTATAGGTTACCTCACCAGGTGTTTCTGCTTCTTAGCTGTTTATATAAATGAGCTTTTAAATATTTTCACCCTCTCTAGGTACCTCTGACATCACTGAAAACATTTTATGTGCAGCTCTGTACCTTAACATTCACCTGTTCCAAGGGAGGCAGGCCACGGAGCAATTCAAATCCCAGCCACCCTGAACAATTTATTTTTCCCATCCTGTCTGAACATAGCAGGGAGGGGAAGAGGCGAAGAGCTGCCCAATGAACAGTACTGCTACTCCCCATGACAACCCTAAAAATGCCTAATCATCCACAGACCAAGATATAAACTCGTAGGACCCAACCATTTTAACAGTTCCAGAGGCTTCTGCATATGGCTTTACTCCATTAACCACTTGTTTCTTAAAGGGTGCCACGGGATGCAGACGTAAGAGTCGCTTCAGTTGCGTTGGAAAGTGGTCATTATGCCTGAAAAGCGGCCCAAAATTATCCTTGGGTGGGAACAGAAAATGTTAAATGCAAGAAAATGCAGCGCAGCACAACCCCGTCACGCGGGTCCTTTGCCATATCTATGCTTGAGAGGGAAGTGTATGAAACTGCTTCATTGAAAGACTCAAAGGCAACGGCCAGAAAAAACAAAGACAAAAACCAAAGAAGGATTGAACCACGACACTACCTCAGCTCGTATTTTTCCAAACAAATCAAGCAAGCCTGATACTGCCTGCAGTAATAAAGTCATTATTATAAACTGTACCTAAACAGAAGAATATCTACATTAATATAAATCTTATATATATTTATATTTTAAAATATATTTTATGTTAATATAAAATTTCACTCCTTGCTTGCAAATTAAGCAAAATCATGGAAACTGTAATAAATTAAACCAAGTTTAGAAACAAAACACAGCCTTGTGATGAATACATCATCCACTGTATTATACAGCTACAGTCATTTTGTCTGTAGTTGCACCGCTACGAGCGGATCACACTTTGGAAGAGAAAGACAAAATATATGTATTTTCATGGTATATCACATTATCTAAATACTGCCAATGTATTTCCCTTATTAGTTCACCACCCTATCACCACTCACCACTGGGTTATCTCAACTACGTGCTCTGAAACTGCAAATTCAAAGCCTTAATTTTGATTCAAATTGTATATTTATAAATATTGTTAAGTACTTAACAACAGGTTCAGAGAAGAAAAATGTTTATGAATTTATTTCAAGAAGATGAATTAAGCAAACACATACTCAAAGGTATACTGGTACATGAGGCCAGGATCCAGAGGTAACATTACTTATTGAAGGAACAGCAGCTGATAACACGTGCACATGAAGCAGAACTACTCAACATGTAGGCTAGGAAAATCGTTATCACAATTGGGGAAAAAATAAAGAGATTTCTTAAAAAATGTAAAGATCAGTGTACTTTTTCACCACAGTGTTGGCGTTAGTTCTTAATAAAGGATTACAACATATTAATTATTACCTGATTCGCATACTATGGAGCCTGGCTTCAGTTCCAACATCATGGTGATCATAGAGATGTCAGTGGAATACAGAATCTGCGTCCTGTGTGGAAGATTCATGGTCCACAGTTCTGGAGTGGGATGAAGAATAAACACCCATCCTCCTTTACTGCAGGTCACTTTGGAGCCATACTTCTTGCCTACAAGATCCGTGGAATGCCTGATGACCCCGTACTTAGTCTGAGTTACACTGCCATGCTGGACTTTGATGGGAAACATGGATTCGTGGCCCAAGAACACAATAGCTGTGTCACCATCCTTTATGGTATTTCCATATTCAACAAAACTCATTGTGACAGTCTTGTAGCTGGCTGATGGTTGTCACCTAGAAGAGAATAAATATGTCAGGAGAGTTCTGCAGGACTGTGATGGAGTTGAAACCACAGACATCAAACTAAGCAATTTTATTTTCCTCAATACAGAACAAGAACACACTGTGCAAATAAGACATTAGCAAGAGAATTCCATGAAGTTCGGGGATGTTCCACCTGCTGCACTCTTGATCCAATTAAAATCAATGGAAAGATCCCACAGACATGAATGTAACTGGTATTTTTCCCATTTTATGGTACATTTTAAAGAAAATTTAGCAAATACATCGTAATTTACTCAGCCTGCTCCACAACACTACTGAGAAACTTGCAAGGTGGTATCAGTTTCTGCACTCTGTTGAATTCCAGTTCAGAACCTCTCAGAGCATTTGGTAAAGTAATAACTTTGATTTCCAAGTGCTGGCTTACCCCTCGTTGATTTTCAGCCTAAGATGACCGTTACTTGCCTGGATATCAACCAGTAGTTATTAGGACCACTAGCAAAAGTTTACTTGAAAGTTTTCCAAATGAAGGTTTAGAGACAGGATAAAGGTAGTATCTGCACTAATTCATGCATAAATTTGACTAACTACAAGGGAAAAAAAAATAACATTGTGACCTTTAATTTGCTATTGGGGCTGCAGTAACTGTCTGGGCAGCGATCTGTGCTGCAACTGAGTGTAAACGACCGTTTGCAAGCTAACACAAACAGTGGCAGCACTTTAGCCCCATGGTCTCAGAGCTGTTTAGAGAATTCAACTTCACTGTCTTTGAGAATACAACCTAGAAATGACAAGGCGGCTTCCAAGGAAACCTGCCATCGCCTTTCAGACAGGGCGGCTAACTGTCTAAGCTGTGGGTTGATCAATTTGTGGAAGGAATTGTTCACTGAACTAATGGTGATCCCAAAGTCAGAAATTAAAGCCTATGACAGAAGGCTTTCAATGTCAGATTTCCGGTAATTCTTCCATAAGAGATTTAAAAGCAATGTTACTTTTAGTTTCAAAATGATGACTTGATTCTGGTGCTTTCGTATTGAATGTGTAACAGCTTGCTCCTAATTCATCCTTTTCATTAAAAACTTTTCGAGCTCAAATTCTAGTCTGTTTCTGTTCACCAGAACTCACTGTAGTTCAATTTGCTGTTAAGCAGCTGGATTTATAATTTTTCTGCTGCAGTCACTGAGACTGATGAACAGATGTGCTTGTGGCCAAAACTTCCAAAGCTTACGACATGCTTATTGCATAAGGTATTCAGATGCCCAAACAGAATAAGCCTGCCTGGACATATGGTGAAACAGTAATAAGGGCATCCCATGAATTCAGAAATGTATGTACCGCATGAAGTCCAGTAGCGTACAAACGTTTAACCATGTCTTATAGCTTGCACCCTCGGATGATATTAATGTTCTCAATCTTTCATAAGTGACACCTGTAGTTCTCATTCCAGATACTATTAATGCAACGTAGTTTTCAGCTCTCAGAACAGTACTGTTTTGAAAGGAGCTCAACCCTAATCCGTTTCTTTCACAGTATTTAGACTGTAGTTACACCTATGTGCAAAAGCAACATTCCTGCCGCGTGTCTGCAGGAACACGGAAGGAATTACTCTCCATTCGATTACACACACTGGCTTCCAGTTTCTTTGCCTTCCTCTGAGCCGCTATACTCAGCACAGCTAATTGTCACAACCATGTACACTGACATCCCAAGGGACAGGTCTCTTGGGCTCCGATCTCACCTGACATGCTATATTCATACACCTGGGGTAAGTTTGGGGTTTCTGAAGACTTTTGGCAGTTTCTTTGCCTCCCCCATGGCAAGGAGCACAGTGATGTAGGAGAACCCGTTTTCATTCATTTTCAAACATTTTCCACTCCCCACCCCTGTCTCCTTTATTCCCTGGGTAGCACACAGATGTCCTGGTACGGTATCCCTTTCGCCACGCGGTGCTGTGGAGTGGGAGTGGAAGAGAAGGTGAGGCAGTGGTTTAAGACTTTGTGGCAAGCGGTTTAGGACTTTTCCATGGGCTTTAAACTTCCCACGACTGCAGCAGCCTAAACTCAACGACCCAGGCGATCCCTCGCAGCCTCGCAAATTAAACCACTACAGTGATTCTGGGTTCTTTTCAACCAGAACCGAGATACACCTCTCCCTCTCCTGCCCAGCTCCCACACAGGCATGGGGAGGCTGCCTCTTCCCCCTCTGCGAAGCCTGGCTGCTTGACGCGGCAGCAGGGGGAAGCTCCCGAAAAGGAGGCGGCAAGGCATGACCGTCTCGTCACCGCACAGCGCAGCCGGTAACACGAAGGCTGGTGAATCCACTACCTGGAACGGCTGTTCGCGGCCGCCGGGCCTCGCGCTGCTCCCCGCGCCCCCTCAGCCGCAGTGGGGCTCCTGAGGCCGGTAACGCGGCCCCCGCACCCTGGGAGCCCCT